TCAGGATGGCTGCTATCCAAAAGTCTACAAGCAATAAATGCTGGAGAGGGTGTGGAGAAAAGGGAACCCTCTTACACTGTTGGTGGGAATGCAAACTAGTACAGCCGCTATGGAGAACAGTGTGGAGATTTCTTAAAAAACTGGAAATAGAACTGCCATACGACCCAGCAATCCCACTTCTGGGCATACACACTGAGGAAACCAGAACTGAAAGAGACACGTGCACCCCAATGTTCATCGCAGCACTGTTTATGATAGCCAGGACATGGAAGCAACCTAGATGCCCATCAGCAGACAAATGGACAAGGAAGCTGTGGTACATACACACAATGGAATATTACTCAGCCATTAAAAAGAATTCATTTGAATCAGTTCTAATGAGATGGATGAAACTGGAGCCCATTATACAGAGTGAAGTAAGCCAGAAAGATAAAGACCATTACAGTATACTAACACATATATATGGAATTTAGAAAGATGTAACAATAACCCTATATGCAAAACAGAAAAAGAGACACAGATGTATAGAACAGACTTTTGGACTCTGGGAGAAGGCGAGGGTGGCATGTTTCAAGATAACAGCATCGAAACATGTACCTTATCTAGGGTGAAACAGATTACCAGCCCAGGTTGGGTGCATGAGACAAGTGCTTGGGCCTGGTGCACTGGGAAGACCCAGAGGGATCGGGTGGAGAGGGAGGTGGGAGGGGGGACCGGGATGGGGAATACATGTAAATCCATGGCTGATTCATGTCAATATATGACAAAACCCACTACAATATTGTAAAGTAATTAGCCTCCAACTAATAAAAATACATGAAAAAGAAAAAGAACTCATACAACTCATATGAAAAAAACAACCTTGTTAAGGAATGGGTAGAAGACTTGAACAGATATTTTTTCAAAGAAGACATAAAGATGGCCAACAGACACATGAAAAGATACTCAACATCACTCATCATTAGGGAAATGCAAGTCGAAACTACAATGAGGTATCACAGCACACCGTCAAAATTGCTATTGTCAAAAAGACAGCAAATAATAAATGTTGGCGAAGATGTGGACAACAGGGAACTCTATTAATATAATGTTGGTGAGAATATAAATTGGTACAGTTACTGTGGTAAACAATATAAAGGTTCCCTACATGCCCTCCAACCCCCTGCAAATAGAAGTACGATATGATCCAGCAATTCTACTCCTGGGTATATAGTCAAAGAAAATGAAAACACTAATTTGAAAAGATATATGCACCTCAATGTTCATAGCAGCATTATTTACAAGATCAAGATATAGAAGCAACCTAAATGTCTACCAATAGATGAATGAATAAAGAAGATGTGAAATATGAAAAAAATAAAATAAAAGTTGGTTCTACGTTTGTATTATCTATCATGTTTATTTTACAGGTTTTTTTTTTATTCCTCTGACTCCTTTTGAAGTCTCTCTCTCACAGTCACATTCTCTCTTCATTTTATTTTTTCCTATAACTTATTCATTAAAATTTTTTTCTTTCCTTCCTTCCTTTTCTCCTTTATTCCCATTTTTTTCTTTTTTTTCCATTTATTTTTATTAGTTGGAGGCTAATTACTTTACAATATTGTAGTGGTTTTTGCCATACATTGGCATGAATCAGCCATGGATTTACATGTGTTCCCCACCCTGAACCCCCCTCCCACCTCCCTCCCCATCCCATACCTCTGGGTCATCCCAGTGCACCAGCCCCGAGCACTTGTCTCATGCATCCAACCTGGACTGGCGATCTGTTTCACAATTGATAATATACATGTTTCAATGCTGTTCTCTCAGATCATCCCACCCTCGCCTTCTCCCATAGAGTCCCAAAGTCTGTTGTATACATCTGTGTCTCTTTTTCTGTCTTGCATATAGGGTTATCGTTACCATCTTTCTAAATTCCATATATATGCATTAGTATACTTTATTCCCATTTTTAATAGCTCCTTTTCATGCCTTTTCTTTTGCTTTCTGTTTTCTTTGCCTGCCTGCATGCCTGCCTTCTTCCTTTTCTTTCTTCCTAGTTTATTCTTTTTACAGGCTTCTCTTTTCAAACTGTCTTCTTTCCTTCTCCGTTTCTCTCTTCTTTCCTTCTATTTTTTTTGTCCTGCCTTTTTACTGACTCCTATTTTATAAACTCATCTTATTTACCTCTCTTCTATATTTCTTTCCTCTCTCTTTCTTCCATGGTTCTCTATTTTCCTGTACTGCTTTTCTTACTGGCTACTGGCTCTTCCTTTTTCAAGTATGTTCATATTTTCTGCCTTCCATCTATCCATCTTCTGTCCCTTCCACCTCCCGCTCCCCCCTTATTTAATGTTAGTCTTCTGTAACTTTTGAAATCCTTCTCTTTCCTTATTGTACTATACTTTTTCTCTCCCTTTTGCTCTGTGTCTCTGTTTCTTCTCTTTTCATTTCCTTCTTTGCCTTTTTTATCTTTTCTTCATTTTTTGTTTTATTTTCATATTTTCTTTTACTGACTTTTAAACTTCCTCCTTTTTAATATTAATCTTTTCCTTTTCTCCTATTCTCCCTCTCCTACTGGATCCTTTTATTCCATTCAGTCTATCTTCAATGTACTGCTTTTTCATACTGGCATCTCCTTTTTAAGTCTCTCTCTTTCTGTTTGTCTTCTTTTACTAACTTCTCATTTTTTCCCCTCATTACTCCCTGCCCAAATTGTATTAGATTTTCCTACTGGCTCCTTTTCAAATGTTTTTTCTCACTCTCACATTCTGTTTTTTTTTCTTTACTTTTTTCTATTCACATATCCTTTTTAAACTGCTTTATTCTCTCTTACCCTCCTACTTCTTTCTCTGTTTTTGTCTGTATGTCTTCTTGCTCCCTTTCTTTCATTTTCTGTTTTTTTTTTGTTTGCCTTTCTTCCTCATACTCCTTGTATTTTTCTCTTGTTTCTTTGCCTTTGTCTCCTTCCACTCCCTCATGGGTGTGTGTGTGTGTGTGTGTGTGTGTTTTCTTACTAGCTTCTTCTGCTCAATATTCTTCTTATTCATTCATTCACTTTCCTCCTCTTTGTATCTCCATTTCATTCTTTCTTTTTGTATCATATTTTCTCCTTTTTTTTCATTTATTTTTATTAGTTGGAGGCTAGTTACAATATTGCATTTTCTCCTTTTTAACCTTTTTGTTCTATTTCTATTTCTTGCTTAGGATATTTTAAATATCTCTTTTTTTCTACTTAAATGTTTTTTCTCTTTCTCTTTCTAGCTTACTGTTTTGTATAATCTTTTCTTGGTGGACCTCAGTTAAAATTTTCCTTCCAGTTTTCATTCACTGTCTCCCTCTTTGCCTCGGTCTGTTTGGGGGTGATGTTCTATCTTACTGGCACATTTTCTCTATCTGTATGTAACTGTCTCTTTCCCTTTTTGTTGTTCTGTGTCCTCTACCGGCTCCTTTCTAAACTCCTAGTAAAGGCAGTCTTGTCTGCTGAGCCACTTTACAGAAGTGTGTAATTTGTTATAATGTCTGTAGCATAACAATATTGTGTGAATGTGTGTGGGTGTCTGTACATTCTCTACAACTTGACCTGTAACTGGGAAGTGCCTGTAAGTGTGAGCTTCTAGAATTTCTCTTTGCAAGGGCTTTGTCACCTCACTATATTAGCACATGGAGGGGTTTTTACAAAGCCACTGATAATTAATAAATATTTAAGCATATTCTACTTACCTTTGTCTTTTGTTGTTTCTCTCTCACCTTCTGTTTCATCTTGACTTCTGTTTTCAAATACACTTTCTTCTGATCCTTCTCTCTGGGGGTCATTCCTTTGCATTTTTTGTAAATGATAAGTGATTTTTTTTCTCGAGTAGTGCTTTTTTCTAAAAATTAAAAAAATATATATTTGGTGTTTAAAATTTAATATCAACTTGCCACTGGAAATGCATAACAGATACTTCAAATATGATGTACATTTGAAGGAAGCCCTCATTCTTGAGATTTCTAAAATCACAAAGAGTACAGAGCTTGGAAGGTAATAAGGGTAAGTTTCCTTTTGCTGTCCAGCTTGAAGGATATATTTTAATAACTAGGTCCAACTGAACTCACTGCCTACTTTCTGAAGACTGGTCCCATTTTAGACCACCCCTTAAAGTCCAGGTTCAGACCAGACTGGCTCTTTCCATCAATAGTTATTCTTGTGAATCTAAGTCACTTCTGAAAATCCACACTTTAAAGTATCAAAATTAGCAAAACCCTTTCCTCAAAACAGCTCAAGTTATTGTTCAAAGGTCACTCTACCTTACAGTGAGTATCTTCTTTGACTTTTTTACTTTGTTCTTCAACCCTTGCTTCTCTCTTTACTTCTTCTCCAATCTTTGACAGAAGTAACATTTCTTTTGTTTTCCATTCCTAAGGAGCACAATGTCATGGTAGTCAGCAGGGCTTCTCTTTTATAATCTTTTTGTTTGTCTGTTTTCTTTTTTTTGGTCAATAAGCAAATTAGGTCAAATTAAGGCCCTTATAGGAACTTGGACAACTATAATGAAAATCTTACATTGGCTTTAGAATGGGCTTATGCTTCAAAGGTAGATCTAAAAAGATCCTGGAAAGGCGATTTTCTCTTATAGATTTGAGGAATTACCATATGTAATATGTTGCCCTTAAATGTATTCTGACAGAGAGCCTGAACAAATAGCCTTGTCTGAGCATTGAGGAGAATACAGACATGATTATTTTTCACTAGAGTTAAATTCTAAAACTTTAAGAGTAGATGAAGTGTGTCTATACTATGATGGATATGTAATTTGTGGTATCAGTCTCACTATGTTAAGTAAACGCTTGTCTGTTATAATGGTGATACAAGATTAATAGCAGTTTATTATTTTAAAATAATTATGATTTTTTAAGCAGTGGTTTATTTCTTAGACCTGAGATAACTTCAGGTAATATGATGGGACTGCTAAAAATGTTTATAAATAAAAAATAACACATAATTTCCCCATCAATATTTATAATTTGGTGTTTCTCACCTCTTCAATTTGTCTCCGGAGACTAAGTTTTCTTCTAATGTGGTCCCGATGTCGTCTTTCTTCTTCCTTTATCCGGAGTATGTTCTGATTTTCTGCCATGTGTTCAAGCTTGTTTAATTCCAAGCTAATCATATCTAAATATCTAAGTAAAAGTGAAAATTTAAAGGAAGATAAATTGTGTGTTTCCCTCATGATGGGTATTATCTACTCTGATATCTCAAACCACCTTCTGGGTTGCTTTTTATTTATTAAACTACAGGAATGTAGCGTTCTTTAAGCTAGCCTGATCCACCAACTCACCATGATGTACTCATCAGACTGTTACTGTGGTTGGGACAATGGAAAAATGTAGAACAGACTGATTTAAAGCATTTTATACAGAGATTAGTCATAATTCAGGAGCTCTGTAACATGAGTTTCCAAAGACGGCTGAAGTCAACTTAAAGACTGACTTCAAAAAACAAGTATATTTGAATTTTCTTTAAAAAAGAAGTGGCTATTGGCCTCTCTGTCATTCTCAAGTCCTTGAACAATCTCTCATGTATAGACAGGTCTGCAGACTACCAGTCTGCCACTTTGGTGAATCAGTATATATTCTGGCATATCATGACATGAATCCATGGACTATAAGAGCTAGGTGATGGGGAACTGGCCCTCACCCCTGATAAAGGAAAAAGAGAAGGAACTATAACTCATCCCTTTGCCTCCTAGGGCATGGGCTCAGCTGCCAAATGATAAGATTGAATATGTGTGAGTAACAGCTAAATGAACATACATGGTTGGTTAGGGGATAACACCTGTTTATATTAGCATCAGATGAAGTTATAGCAACTCTCTCTGTTTTATCCTGCAGTAATTTCCTTAAACTTAAGTTTAAAATGTACTAATCACACCTTTCCCTCTACTACTATGAACTTGGGTTTCCCAAGCTCGGGGAGCTGTACTTCGGCATTGTTCTTCAAATATCCGTTGGTCTTACCTCTTGGCTTCCTCAAGACTCCATTTTCTCAGGTAGAAACTCTTTCCTAGCTATGGTACCAAAGTTTCCAATCCCTGCTATCTCTTAATCTCTTTTCTTTTCCGTCCACATTGAAGACTATAGGAAGTTAAATTGTGTCTAATACTTTTTAAATTCTGCTTTCAATTATTTCTAGTACTTTTACAGCTTTCTGGGGTCCACAATATGTCCACAGAAATATGCATTAACTTTGGTCATACCTTTGCTTTATCAACAGCTCTTGGTCTGGAGTTGTTTGTTTATTTTCTTGTAACAGCCAATCTTGGAACTGTGTATTGCCATAACTGTCACAGGCTCTCTTGGTTTTATACAATTTATTTACTTGTTTTTCAATCATTTTCTGGGAGGGAAAAAAAGAATTACAGTGTTTATATTGGCCAGAAATAACCTTGTCCTTTGATATGATTTCTTATGTTTCGGGCTTGGTAAACGTCCTGTAGTTTACAAATGGTTAAGTCTTTCATTTAAGTCTTTCTTCCACAACCTACATAAAGACTTTCTTATAGGCCTCAAATAAAACAAATTCAAGTATTTAACTTACTTTTTCTGTTACATAGTTTCTTTCAAAGTCTAATTTCAAACTGGTGAGACACTGCCTGTACTTATTCAATTCCTTCAAGGTGCAAACAACCTATAAAAACAAATATATAAATAGAAAGTTGTAACAATCATGAAACTTTCCAGAGCAAAGAGTCATAAGAATATTCATTTTAGTAACAATTTTGGGATCAAGGGTAGTGATAGCACATTTCGGTAATAATTTAGAAGGCGGTATCTCTCTACAGTGGCTGTATCACCAGGAAATGTCTACCTAAATAATATTATTTCAATAATATGGTTCACACAAAATAAATGTTATTAAAATGTCAGTATAATAATGATGTTTAACTTTCAGAAGAATTTATTCTATCAAGCTGTATTCTGTTAGGTTTCCATTTTGTCTCTAGTCCTCTCAAAGGGTATTGGAAATATCCCTTGATGGGTATACAGTGCCATTAATACTTTTAGAGCCAAAGGAAAGGCACTAATAATACAGCTGAGAGAAAATGCATACATAAATGTGTATGTATATGTCTTTACATATTCAAAGCATTTGGTGTTTATCTTTTGCTTTTATCAAAGAAAAATGATCAAGTGGGAACAATTTTATTTAGAAGCAGCCACCTGATTTCTCTTCACTCAAATATTGAGTGATTCACTGAGTTTTCTGTCAGGTATTCTTTATTGCTCAATTAAAAGTTGACACATGTTCCCAGTGAAGCACAGAAGCAAGCTTCTATCAAGACCATGGGTTTATGCTGGTTAACCGGAAGCAAACTTCAACCCACCTTATTATTGCTGGTGACATAGCCGCCTTTCTTTAATCTCCTCAGGATATCTTTTCGCCTATAGTACGATTTTAAATGTGGATCGTGCAGGCTTTTATAGCTGGTTTCCAAAAGCCGACAATAAGGATCAGACAGGTTAAAGTCATAAGAAGGTTGATAAAGCTCCAAACACATAGATTGAAAAGTGTTACATATGTAAAATGAATGAAATCACACTGTTAAACCTCAATTTGTTAAGGTGATTAGGCTGTTCATTGAAAATAAAACATGCAAGAAGAATCTGAAGTGAGAGAATACTGACAATGGGCTGATCTGAAAAGAAGACAGTAGAATACTATAATTTTCCTTCCACTCGCATTTAAATCAATATGAAAGACCTTTAAATTCTGTTTCCGTGGTACTCTGCTAAAATGATTTGTAGTTCACGAAGCAGCAAGGTCAGGTGAAGAAGCACGGCCTAAGAAATTGGGAGACTGTGGTTCTAGTCTAAACTCTGCTACCATCTACCTGTCATAGCTTCACCTTACAAGGTGGTCAAGGGTAGAGTTAAAAAAAAAAACTAACTAAATGTGCAAAATATATTGTTACTTCCTTGAGGAGATATTGTTAAAAGATAAAGAAGGATCCCACTAAGTTAGTATTTAGGGTAGTTGAATATAGTACCTGATCATAATTAAATACATGTATTTGGGGGGAATCAATATAATAAAGTGTAGAGCAAATCAGTATAAGTATGGAGAAAAATCAGGAAATAAGTAGCTAACAAGTGAATAAAAGAGTAACACAATGTAAATACGGGAAATAGAAGATAGTGGAGCAAGAAACCAATGAAGAGAGCTACATTTACAAACTGAAAAGGAGTGTTATCCGTTGTAGTCAAATAGCCTTTGAGTATGTTTCAGGAATGCTAATTTGTGGGAAGGGGTAGAATGTATTGGTTTTGAAAATAGAAATTATATTGCTTTCCAGCAATAAAACTTAAAAAAATCATATATATTTGACAAGTATCAGAAATACCAGGGAGCCCCCTATGCACATAGAGAGGAGAATGGTAAGGATGTCAGAATCACTCCTTTAGAACATTTTGCTATTGTGATCAAAGCACACAGGGAACTCTGGGACTCGGAGAGTTCCGAACCTCCTCCAGGCTTGGCTTGAAGTAAGGGCAGGGTGGGGAGTGTTAGGCAGAGGACTTAAGCAGTGCTTGCAGCACTCTGAACCAGAAACAGTGCTTTAGTGCTGAGTGAGAGAATGCAGATCAAGGGCAATGTAAAGTCTAAGGAAAGATGAAACCACTGGGGTTTGGGACACTGGGGAAAGGCTTCATATAGTAGCTCTTGAAAGATGGCTCACATTGAAGGTCAGGAGGGAGAGGAGAGCGTGCCAGGTTTCAGGACCCAGATGGACAAAGGCACAGAAGTAGAAATTATCATACTATGTGTGGACAGGGAGAAAAGACCCAGACCTTTCAGCTGAGGTCTGGATTGGAGATAAGGCTGAATTGGGTGGTGGAGGCCTATCACGAGGCCTTCTATCATTAAAGTGAGGTTCAGACATTGAATACGTCAATTCATTTTAACTTCACTTGGTGTGTGAAACTGAAGTTGACTCAAAGCAAAATGATAGCAGTGTTTCATGTTTAATAGCAAGCAGAAAACAGTCAAGAAAATCACTTAAGCACCATTAAAAGTTAGTTTACCTTTTCACTTAAATTTGTAGTATAGAATACATTATTACTTCCTGGAATAACGGGAAGCTTGACCCCAAGAGGAAGATCCAATAGATTAGCGGCTCCGACCTCTGGAGTGGGGTCTTTTTGCGAGTCCTGTCAGATATAAAGTAGAAACCTTGTCTTTTGTTTCTAGTACTATTATTTTAGTTTAGACCAATCTACTTAAACTTCAATGGGCTAATACCTCCAAATAAACCAAAGACACACACTCAGGCTTGAAAGAAACCGCTCTTTTGATAACCCGAAGGCCTCCAGTTTACCCCTGTTACCAACCCAATCTCTCTTGAGATTAGCTCAAAGCTAATCTCGGCCAGAGGGAGCTTTAGTCACTGCAGAGGGTCTGGGAGCTGGAAACCCAGCTTCAAGGAACTACCCGCCTCTGCTGAATCCTCCCCTGTAGTCTTTCGTCTGCCCGCCCTCTTTCCCTCCCAAAACCCAGCCCTGGAGCCAGAAAGAGGAGGAGGATGACCGACTAACCTCTACTCACGGAGTCACATCGCTCCCTCTCGGCAGTTGGGCTGCTGGCGGCCGCCTTGGCGCCCTGAGCAGCCTTGTAGGAGTTATTGAGGTACAGGTCCATGGCCACCCATCAGCCCCCAGGGGGCTGGCGGCTGGGGCCGTCTCGGTTTCTTCTCTTTGCGCACACCTTTCCAGCTCTACTCCCGCATCTAGTCTGGGCAACCTAGATAGTGGTCACGAGGGTAACACCTCCTCCAGGCCACGCTCCTCACAATGCTGGGTTCCACGCAGCAGTGCTGACGTCCTAAAAGGGCACCTCCCCAAAGGGCGTCGCCCTCAAGTGAGGGGATGGGGCCTTGTGACTTCTCTAGCTGCCACCTGGACCTCCGGCACATGAGCAGGACACAAGCCTCAAGGGCCAAGCGAGATGGGGAAGTGGTCCAAAAGACTTGGTGTAGGAGGATCACAGTTGAGATTATCTTTCAACCTGAAATCAATAGCCCTAATTTAAATTAAACCAGAATGTATCAATCTTTGTCAGTGTATTGTTCTTGTTTATTCACTAAATCGTGTCCTACTCTTTTGACCGTAGCCCACCAGGCTCCTCTCTCTGTGGGATTTCCCAGGCAGGAACACTGGCGTGGGCTGCCATTTCCTTCTCCAGGGGATCTTCCCAACTCAGGGATCGAACTCACATCTCCTGCATTGGCAGGCGGAATCTTTACCACTGAGCCACTAGGAAAGCTCTTGTCTCTGGGTTCAGTTCAGTTCAGTTCAGTCACTCAGTCGTGTCAGACTCTTCGCGACCCCATGAATCGCAGCACGCCAGGCCTCCCCGTCCATCACCAACTCCTGGAGTTTTCTCAAACTCATGTCCATCGAGTCAGTGATGCCATCCAGCCAGCTCATCCTCTGTTGTCCCCTTCTCCTACTGCCCCCAATCCCTCCCAGCATCAGGGTCTTTTCCAATGAGTCAGCTCTTCTCATGAGGTGGCCAAAGTATTGGAGTTTCAGCTTCAGGATCAGTCCTTCCAATGAATACCCAGGACTGATCTCCTTTAGGATGGACTGGTTGCATCTCCTTGCAGTCTAAGGCACTCTCAAGAGTCTCCAACATCACAGTTCAAAAGCATCAATTTTTCGGTGCTCAGCTTTCTTCACAGTCCAACTCTCACATCCATGCATGACCTCTGGAAAAACCATAGCCTTGACTAGACAGACCTTTGTTGGTAAAGTAATGTCTCTGCTTTTTAATATGCTGTCTCTGTTGGTCATAACTTTCCTTCCAAGGAGTAACCGTCTTTTAATTTCATGGCTGCAATCACCATCTGCAGTGATTTTGGAGCCTCCCACCGCCAAATAAAAGAGTCTGACACTGTTTCCACTGTTTCCCCATCTATTTCTCATGAAGTGATGGGACCAAATGCCATGATATTAGTTTTCTGAATGCTGAGCTTTAACCCAACTTTTTCACTCTCCTCTTTCACTTTCATCAAGAGGCTTTTTAGTTCCTCTTCACTCTTTGCCATGAGGGTGGTGTCATCTGCATATCTGAGGTTATTGATATTTCCCCTGGCAATCTTCATTCCAGCTTGTGCTTCTTCCAGCCCAGTGTTTCTCATGATGTACTCTGCATATAAGTTAAATAAGCAGGGTGACAGTATACAGCCTTGACATATTCCTTTTCCTATTTGGAACCAGTCTGTTGTTCCATGTCCAGTTCTAACTGTTGCTTCCTGACCCGCATATAGGTTTCTCAAGAGGTGGGTCAGGTGGTCTGGTATTCCCATCTCTTTCAGAATTTTCCAGTTTGTTGTGATCCACACAGTCAAAGGCTTTGGCATAGTCAATAAAGCAGAAATAGATGTTTTTCTTGAACTCTCTTGCTTTTTTGATGATCCAGTGGATGTTGGAAATTTGATCTCTGGTTCCTCTGCCTTTTCTAAAACCAGCTTGAACATCTGGAAGTTCACGGTTCACGTATTGCTGAAGCCTGGCTTGGAGAATTTTGAGCATTACTTCACTAGCGTGTGAGATGAGTGCAATTGTGCAGTAGTTTGAGCATTCTTTGGCATTGTCTTTCTTTGGGATTGGAATGAAAACTGAGGTCAGGGGAAGCAGCTGAGAGGAGCTACCCCACGTCCAAGGAGCAGCGACTGCACAGGCACAGGAGGGCCAAGAGGAGCTACCCCACATTCAAGGTCAGGAGGGGCGGCCATGAGGAGATACCCCTTGTCTAAGGTAAGGAGCAGCAGCTGCGCTTTGCTGGAGCAGCCATAGAGATACCCCACACCCAAGGTAAGAGAAACTCTAGTAAGACAGTAGGTGTTGCGAGAGGGCATCAGAGGGCAGACACACTATAACCATAATCACAGAAAACTGATCACAGGACCACAGTCGTGTCTCACTCAATGAAACTAAGCCATGCCGTGTGGGGCCACCCAAGACGGTGGGGTCATGGTGGAGAGCTCTGACAGAATGTGGTCCACTGGAGAAGGGAATGGCAAACCACTTCAGTATTCTTGCCTTGAGAACCCCATGAACAGTGTGAAAAGGCAAAATGATAGGATACTGAGAAAGGAACTCCCCAGGTCGGTAGGTGCCCACTATGCTACTGGAGATCAGTGGAGAAAGAACTACAGAAAGAATGAAGGGATGCAGCCAAAGCAAAAACAATACCCAGTTGTGGATGTGACTGGTGATAGAAGCAAGTTCTGATGCTGTAAAGAGCAATATTGCATAGGAACCTGGAATGTTAGGTTCATGAATCAAGGCAAATTGGAAGTGGTCAAACAGGAGATGGCAAGAGTGAATGTCGACATTCTAGGAATCAGCAAACTAAAATGGACTGGAATGGGTGAATTTAACTCAGATGACCATTATATCTGCTACTGTGGACAGGAATCCCTTAGGAGGAATGGAGTAGCCATCATGGTCAACAAGAGTCCAAAATGCAGTACTTGGATGCAATCTCAAAAACGACAGCATGATCTCTGTTTGTTTTCAAGGCAAACCGTTCAATATCACGATAATCCAAGCCTATGCCCCAACCAGTAACGCTGAATAAGCTGAAGTTGAATGGTTCTATGAAGACCTACAAGACCTTTTAGAACTAACACCCCAAAAAAGATGTCTCTGGGTAGCTGCCTGTAATTCTTCTAAATCTTCCTGACCCCCAAAGAGCTATGATTCTGTTCAACACATGCCCCCGGGTAATTGTATAGTTTGCACTAAGACCAGAGGATTGAGTTTATACATCTGCCTACTTTGTAGATCCTGTGACCGACCACTTCTGCTAGGCATATCCTTCCCCCAGTCTCATTTAGAACATATTGGTTTTTCAGGACTCAATGCTTTCTCTCCTGTCTTGGGCTCTTCATCTCTCTACGCTCCTTGTCCTCCCTTTCTCACTCTTCTATTTCTTTCTATCTTATCTTTTCTACCTTATCAGCGCTTCCCACATGGCACTAGTGGTAAAGAACCCACCTGCCAATACAGGATATATACCCCAGGTGGCGCTAGTGGTAAAGAACCCACCTGCCAATATAGGAGGCAGGAGGCGTGGGTTCCTGGGTGGGGAAGATGCCCTGGAGGAGGGAATGGCAACCCATCCCAGTATTCTTGCCTGGAAAAATCCCATGGACAGAGAAGCCTGGCAGGCTACAGTCCATGAGGTTGCGCAAAGAGTCAGACAGGACTGAAGTGACTTAGCATGTAGGCACCTTATCATTAGATTAGCCAACATTTATTGAGTGCCTGCTCTGCCAGACACTGTGCTGGGTGCTGGGGATACAACAGTGAGTAGAGCACAGTTCTTGCTGCCCAGGAACCCACTAGATGGTAAATATATTAATAGCTGAGACTGCACTTGGTTTGTCTAGAATCTGTACTTTTGTCTCCAGGTTCTTTCATGAATCTTTTTATTGTGCTAAAAATGCATAACATAAAATTTACCATCTTAACCATTTTTAAGTGTACAGTTCAATAATGTTACATATATTCAAATTGTTATGTAACAGACCTCCAGAATTTTTCATTTTGCAAAACTGAGTCTGTACCCGTTAAACAATTCTCCTTTCTTCCTTTGTCCCAGTTCATGGTAACTACCATTTTGCTTTCTGTTTCTAGGAATTGGACTACTTCAGATACCTTATATAAGTGATATAAGTGAAATCAAGGAATATTAGTGTTTTGTGATTGGCTTATTTAACTTAGCATAATAACTTCAAAGTTCATACATGTAGAAGCATGTGTTATGATTTCTTCCCTTTTAAAGGGTAAATAACAGTCTATTAAATGTATCTAACTCTATCACATTTTCTTTATCCATTCAATCATTAGTGGACATTTAGGTTGCTTCCACTTCTTCAGTTCAGTTCAGTCTCTCAGTCATGTCTGACTCTTTGAGTCCCCATGGACTGCAGCACACCAGGTGTCCCTGTCCATCACCGACCCCCAGAGCTGGCTCAAACTCATGTCCATCGAGTCAGTGATGCCATCCAACCATCTCAACTTCTGACATCCCCTTCTCCTCCTGCCTTCAATCTTTTCCAGCATCAGGGTCTTTTCAAATGAGTCAGCTCTTCGCATCAGATGTTTCAGCTTCAGCATCAGTCTTTCCAATGAATATTCAGGACTGATCTCATCTCGGATGGACTGGTTGGATCTCCTTGCAGTCCAAGGGACTCTCAAGAGTCTTCTCCAGTCTTCTTCAAAAGCATCAATTCTTCAGCACTCAGCTTTCTTCATAGTCCAACTCATATCCGTACATGACTACTGGAAAAACCAAAGCTTTGACTAGACAGACTTTTGTTGGCAAAGTAATGTCTCTTCTTTTTAATATGCTATCTAGGTTGGTCATAGCTTTTCTTCCAAGGAGTAAGCGTCTTTTAATTTCATGGCTGCAGTCACCATCTGCAGTGATTTTGGAGCCCAAGAAAATAAAGTCTGTCACTGTTTCCATTGTTTCCCCATCTATTTGCCATGAAGTGATAAGACTGGATGCCATGATCTTAGTTTTTTGAATGTTGAACTTTAAGTCAACTTTTTCACTTTCCTCTTTCACTTTCCTCAAGAGGCTCTTCAGTTCCTGTTCACTTTCTGCCATAATGGTGGTGTCAT